ATGGTTTGGCCGCCATCTTGGATTTTGTGAAAATAGACATTATGCAACTACATGTTTTGTATTAGTCTGATTTCTTTCAAATTTTGTATGTGCATTTGTGTCATCAGATGCATCATTTTGCCCCAATAGCACACTGCTAGGCCACGTGGCTGGGCACCCATGGGGTGGGGGCTTCTAACCTCATTAATATGCATAACTGTTATAACTCAAACACTGTCGCAGTTAGGGTGATGGATCCTGTGTTATTATGACAACGTTGAACAAGAGATTTGATTAAAATAACAGATGACCATATATGGTCATGTGAACTCATTAATATGCATAGCAGTCATATCTGAAACACTGTCGCAGAACAGGACATGTAACTAGTGTCATTATGAAGACATTGAATGAAAGATGTAACTGACATTAGAAATGGCTATATATGATTATGTAATCTCATTATTGTGCATAAGAACATGGCTCATTATATATCCTGAAAACCATATTTCGATAACCAAACCAGGTAAATACATGGTACCAACTTCATTTCGACCTCATGTTACTGATAATACAAGCTACCTGATTGTCTAACATGTGACCTCATTTATTATGAAACAGAATCTTGTCATGATAGATCAGCTTGGGCCCCGGTGACGCCGCTTGCGGCTTTAATTGCTACTCTAGTTAATTTTTTTTTTTGATTTGGAGGCTCTGCACCTTTGAAAGACTTCGCAACATATTGCAGACTTCCGTTTTTATCACTGTCTTTGTATGGCTAACAAAAGCGGGATTACCTAAATCGATCAATACATGTTATTGTTTTAAATACGTGCAAGACGAGACTGACACTTGTAAACAAAAACATAAGCATCACGGGCGAGTGACCAAGCGTCACGGACAAAGGGCAAGCATCACGACCGAGTCTCCAAGCGTCACGGTACCGTGTCGCTTCAGAGGCCTGGGGAGAACACTGTGTGGTATAACAACTGTGCTACTTCAATGTAATGAAAGAACTTACCTTCAGCTTGGAGTTGATCATTTTAAAGTAGAATTCTTCAGGATTTTTATCCAAGGCCTTTTTTTTCAGCACTTTTAAATAATTTTGTTTCTTGTGGTAATCCCTATAAGGAATCAGATTAGGGTTATTGCACTTACAAGTTTTTTAGTCCCCGTTCGGATGCAGTCCGAAAACGGGGACTTATGTTTTGACCCTTGTGCATCCGTGCGTCTGTTCGTGTGTGCATGAGTCTGGACCTGTATCTTAGAAATGTCTGGTCCAATCATAATCAAACTTCACACATACATAATATTATACATATGCACATCAATTTGTTTCACAATCTGATTCAAGATGGTCGAATAGCGACCATTTTTGTACTGAAAATCATCAAATTTAAGCATTTCTTGGCTGTTTACAGATGGATTTGGTTCAAACTTGGTATATACATTGGACATTATAGGGCCTTGATGCACATCATTTTGTTTTTCATATAAGATTCAAAATGGCTGACTGGCGGCCATTTTTTTTTAATGAATGGGCTTCTAGAGCCATCTCTGACATGCTTTGACTGATTATGTTCAAATTTTAAATATTCATTATACATCATGTTATAGATATATGCATGTATTCAAAATGGCTGCTTTTGTTTTAATTAATGCTGAACCAGAGCAATATCTCTCAATAAGTACTCGTTTGACGATCAGATACAAATGCCAATCATTTTAATGTTAAACAATCATCATAATCATAATCTTGACATGGTTATATTTCAGCTATATTACTATAAACAAAACTATACATCTAAAATTCGATAACTAACAGGGACTGTGCCATGCATGGCTTGTTAATTTTGCTTTGTTTTGTTGAACCGGCTAAATTATACGTCAAATTACAATACAACTTGTTGTGTCACTGACAAGTCTGTGGATTTAAAACCTAATGTATTCAAATAACAAAATAGTGACAATAAAAACCCGTGAAAATTACTTGGAAACCTGTCAGTGTTGAATCATAGTCTGAGCCAAGCAAGAACATCTGATGTAGTCTCGTCTCATCTGGGTTGTCATGAGAACCGTATGTTTTCCCACAAAAATGTTGGTACCTGTTTGAAGCAAATTTTTATGTATTTTCCACAAAAATAAAAATAATATTTTATTAGCTTCAGACTTTAATCAAAAGTTTTGAAAATATTTTGCACAATGCTTGATTTGTGACAAAAATTTTACTGGTGTTTAAATGGCACTCTTGATAATATAGATGAAGTCTGAACATGAGGTTTGATTAGTGTAACCTGTCTTCTGATTATATAACAAACCTAGAACAAAAGTGAATATAATATTTTTCTAAACCGTGAACAGTTATCACTTCTGATGCCACTTACAGAAAATATACACCTATAATGATCACTTACACATGTGTTAAGACTTCCATG